GAATTTCAAGTTCGTGTGAATTATGGTTCCGAAGTTATAGCTGATAAAAAATTCCACGCCTATGGGATGTGCCATGCCCCCTTTTACAAACTCCTTCATATATACCCTCCTATAAGCACCTACCATTGGTATGTCTGCATACCAAATTTCAAGTTCGTGTTACTTATGGTTCAGTAGATATAGCTGATAAAAAATTCCGCGCCTATGGGATGTGCCACGCCCCCTTTTACAAACTCGTTTATATATACCCTCCTATAAGCTTCTACCATTGGTATGTCTGCATACCGAATTTCAAGTTCGTGTGACTTATGGTTCCGAAGTTATAGCTAATAAAAAATTCCGCGCCAATGGGTTGTGCCACGCCCCCTTTTACAATACCCTCCTATAAGCACCTAACATTGACATGTTTGCATACCAAATTTCAAGTTCGTGTGACTTATGGTTCCGTAGATATAGCTGATAAAAATTAAACGCCTATGAGATGTGCCACGCCCCCTTTTACAAACTCATTTATATATGCCATACTATACGCGCCTACCATAGACATGCCTGCATACCAAATTTCAAGTTCTTGGGACTTATGGTTCCGATGATATAGCTGATAGAAAATGCCACGCCTATGGGATGTGCCACGCCCCCTTTTACAAACTTATTTATATATACCCTCCTATAAGCAGGTACCATTGATATGTCTGCATACCCAATTTCAAGATCGTATGACTTAAGGTTCCGAAGTTATAGCTGATAAAACATTCCACGCCTATGGGTTGTGCCACGCCCCCTTCTACAAACTCATTTATATATACCCTCTTATAAGCACCTACCATTATATGTCTGTATACCAAATTTCAAGGTCATGTGACTTATGGTTCCGAAGTTATGGCTGATTAAAAATTTCACGCCTATGGGAGGTGCCACGCCCCCTTGTAGGATCCCATATCAACCAAATCGGTACAGAAAACTCTATGGAATTGTATAATTGTGACATCTCAGCTTTCTTAAAAAGTTTTGAATTTTTTTTTATCGAAAAACCTTCCACACAGAAGGTTCAAGAAAGTACTTTTTACTTTATTGAAATCGGTTCAGCCGTTTGGTCAGGCATCGCGGTCATACGAAAAACATTTCATTTTTATATATATAGATAAAATAAAAGTAACATTTAAAGAATTCGCTAAAATTAAATAACGACTCATGAACTATGCAAGTGGTTAATGATGTGATAAAATGCGAGTTGATGTCCTAAATAATTATATAGGTACGATATATTCTGAAAACCCCTTCAAACACTATGAAATGTAATATGAATAAAATTCCAGTACGTCTACAATAATGAAGCAAAAAATATCGAACGTTCGCCATATAAGAAAAACGAAGTAATGCATACGTGCACAATTTCGACTCAAAACCGAAATAATGCATATGACAAAAACCGAAACAGTGCATACATGTAGAATTCTCCTTTCTGTGTTGCCGGAAAAGGGAGGCAGAAGTATTTTTGCGCAGAACTTCTTCCTGCGCAGGAGGCCTTCGACCGCGCTTAGGGATTATAACCCTTACTAAGTAAAATTCTCCTTTCTGTGTTGCTGGAAAAGATGGGCGGAAGTATTTTTGCGCAGAACTCTTTGCGTAGGCGGCCTTTGGCACTATAACCCTTACTAAGTAGAAGTAATACATATTAGAAAAAAAATAAATTATCCATATGCACACTTTCGGTTGTAAACCGAAATAATGCATATGTGAAAAACGAAGTAATGCATACATGCACAGTTTCGGTTGAAAACCGAAATAATGCTTATGGCAAAAACCGAAATAAGTTTCGGTTGAAACCGAAATAATGTCTAAATGCACAGTTACCATTTTCGCAATTTCGGTGCCCCAAAGGCAAGTGGGGAAGCTTTTTGGCATCGGGCTAAACCGACAAACATTTTTAGTGTCAAATAAGAAGAGGATTTATTTGTGTTAGATACATATATACGAATTTTTAACCCAAAATTAAGTGTGTTAGATACATATGTACGAATTTTTAACCCTAAGTGTGGTAAATTATTTAAAAATATATTTATATATACATATATTCCTTTTTTAATAAAACGATTTGATCATTCCCAGTGCATCCAAAATATGTTGAAATAAACTTTGTAGTGACAGTAAATATTTAATTTCTTCATTAACTCCTCAGTGTTGAAAGGGGCTTCGGTAAAATGATACTTCTGAGTAATGGCAATGTTTTAGGCTCGCATTTTCTACTTTTCTATAATATTACCCAACATATTGTCATGTCCTAAAGTTCACATATGGTCAGTGGCTGGAGGAACTACAAAACTGAATTATTCGCTGGACAATACAGCATTGTGGAAGGGGTGACGGGTTCAAAAGCACGCAAGGAAAAATAGACGTCAAATTAAGAACAAATATAAGTCTACAAACATATTCTCAAATATTTGCCATACATATGTACATATATTCGTATGCGTGTCTGTCACATCCCTGTCGGACTTAGCTTTCTAAATGTACTTACAAGACAGTTATTTTTCACACTTATTTCCCGAAGTCAAAGAATTAGTTCTGTCCAGTAAAAAATTACGAGTAACTTAATTTCCAAGGATTTTACAACACTTGCATTCATTCAAGTTTCATGAGCTGCTGATTAATTTTATACTTTCCGATGCAGTTTTATAATAAAAACGGTATTTCCTATATTATTATCTTTTTTTAACTAAAAAACAAGTAAATAAATCTAATTTCGGGCGAAGCCGAACACTTTCAAGGTTTTACCCCTATTTCAAACATTTTCGATAGTATGTTCAGTTAGACTTAATGAGATAAACTTAAGTGAGCGGGGCCATTGCCATTTTCTAAAATTCCATAATAATCTTATTTATTTTTAAGAGTTTGTTGTGAGTACCAACTTTGAGTAAATTAGTGTTTTACATTTCGAAATATCGAAGTTTCCGTATTTCTGAAATTTACCGTTTTATGACAAGTGGGCGCAATTTTAGTTCGATTTCAAACATTTTCAGTACCTTGCTTTTTTGTATCAACTACAATAATTATACCGAGTTTGGTACAAAATGATTTAACTGTTGCCGGGATACACATATGTGTATGTTCGTATTTATCACGTTTGATCCCGTATTCCTCGGACTAAATCTAGTAAAACTGTCAAAAAATAAAAATTCGCTCAGAGCGATAGAGTAACACTGAAAAGTACGGGATAGCTTTCTAGTAAAAAATGGTAACTTCTGACAACATTAATATAACATCCAAATTTTGCTTGTAAAATTTTGCTTCTTTCATAAGTAAACACACTCAGCTCTCACATGTAAATTACCAAAAACGCTTAGAAATTCATTAGAATCCACTCAAACAGGTAATTAAATATTTTATAACATGCATTAGCAAAGTGTAATTTTCTTTTTGGTACAAATTGGTAGAACGGTTACCGAGATACATATATGTGATCATAAGTGGGCGGTGCCACGCCCATTTTCCAAAATTTTATCATAAACGTATTTCTTGGTAAAAAATTGTTGCAAGCACCTATTTTGGATAAAGTAGCTTTAATATTTACTGCTTTATCGAAGGTTTCGTATTTCTCTAAATTACCGTTATATGGGATGTGGGCGTGGTTATTGTCCGATTTAAAAAATTTTCGGCCATTTCGTATGTTATACCACCAACAACTGTGCCAAGTTTGGAAGAAATTGGTGCAGCGGTTACCAAGATATATACACATAAGTGGGCGTGGCTACGCCCATTTGCCAAACATTTATAATATTCTTATTTTTCGTCTAAAACTTATTGTAAATATCAATTTTGAGTGAATAATCTTCAGTAGTTACTAAAATATCGCAGTTTTCGTATTTCTGAAAATTACCGTTATATGGGAGGTAGGCGTGGTTAATGTACGATTTTGCCCATTTTCAATACCATCCGTCCTACGCCAGAAAGAAGTGCACGTACAAAGTTTCGTTAAGATATCTTAATTTTTACTCGAGTTATCGCGTGCACAGACGGACGGACGGACGGACAGACAGTCACCGCTTAATGGATTTCTCTTTTCACTCTGATCATTTATGTATACATTTGTCTATATCTATCTCGATTCGTTTTGCCTGTTACAAACAACCGTTATGTGAACAAAGTTATAATACCCCTGTGCACAAGTGCGCTCGGGTATAAAAATCATGTAAATCAGAATTTTCTAATTTTGTATAACATTTATAAAAATACGACGAATTTTAACAGATGTTGATCAAAATTTTAAACATTTTAATAAGATTTTTAGAATCGTTTTGAGTATACAGTTTTTAGCCCCTTGAGTTTTAGTATACAAAAGTGTACAAAATTTGCACTCTGAATTAAATGGGCTACAAAACTGCATACTCAGAATGTTTCTAAGAAATCTGAGTAAAAAGCTCAACATTTTGATGAAACTTTGTCGAATTTTGTTAATTTTTGTACAACGTTTGAACCTTTGACTTACATGGTCTTTGTTAGCTAACAAGCTAACATTAAATAAATAAATAATAATAATCGAAAGGGGAATAACCAAATAATGCTTAAATGTATTATTTTTCATAATTTCAGTAAGTTCAATTTAGAATCGTTTCATGAAAAAACAAAACTTAACAAATAATTATAAAAACCTTAAAAAAAATTTTACAATAGTGATAGACTGCAACATAGCGAGAGTAACAGTTTTTCAGAATAAAACATAACCAAGGTCATAGAAAATAAGGATGCTGGCTATGTTTATGGCTCCCTTATATTCTAAGTTCTTTGTGATAACGAAAGTGCTCCCACGTTTGTACGAAAAATGGTCTATGGGCCAGGGTTCAGGAAGACTCCTATTAAACTAATAAATAAAACTCGGTAAATCGGGATTTACGCGGTACAAAAAGGCCCGTCGAGATGGAAGGGGAAAGGGGGGAATCCCTCGGGTCCGGGATATCAGTAGTTACTGATTTATCAACTATCGGCTAAATTACCTTTATGGGATGTGGGCGGGGTTTTTGTCCAATTTTAAAAATTCGCAGCCGTTTGGTATGTTTTACCGAGGCCATAAACTGTGCCAAATTTGGGAGAAATTTGTGGAGCGGTTACCGAGATATACACGTTTAATCATAAGTAAGCGGGATTATGCCAATTTTCCATTCTTATTTTCTGCCAAAAGATCAATGTAAATGAATAAGTTGCAGTATTACTAAAACATCGCAGTTTTCGTATACCCGCCAAGTACCGTTATACGGGAAGTAGGCGGGGTTATTGTCTGATTTGGCCTATTTTGAATACCATCCGCCCTTAGCTCAAAAGAAATACTGTTACCAAGTTTCGTTAAGATATCTCAATTTTTACTCGAGTTGTCTTGTGCACAGCCGGACAGACGGGCGGACGGCCAGACAGTCACCGCTTAATTTCTCTTTCCATTCTGAGCATTTGTGTATACATTTGTCTATATCTATCTTGATTCCTTTAGGCTGGTACAAACAACCGTTATGTGAAGAAAGTTATAATACCCTTGTACACAAGTGCGCTCGGGTATAAAAAAAGAATTTTTTTCGGAATCACAGTCCGGCGGGGGTTTTACGTACATGTATAGATAGATACAAACATATGGTTGTAAACGCAAAATTAACCCTTTCAGCCAGAAAGTGGATATACGAGCGGGAGAAGACAAATTTAATTAAATTAGCTACTTAGTCAGTTGGCTCGTTAGCAGAAGTCAATCACATGGTATTTGTATGTGTCAACAAAAAACGCTCAGAATTTAACTGACCTTATATGCTGCTGTATGTCGACATTCATACATTCTCTTCAGAATCCAGCATAATGAATTGACGAAATTTTTGTAATCTTGCTCTGTCATTTCTTTTCATCTCGTTTAGTATTTGAAGGTATTGAGTCGTGGTATTTCATTGTTACTATTGCCCGTCATTTGAACTTTCTACTTGTCATTTTAACTCCATAGTATATCGTTAACTTCATATACATAAATGGGGAGATTGTTTTTATTAATGTATACATTAATGTGTACATAAATATGTGGCATGTACATATGTAAATATTATGTATATTGCTGTATGCATACATGTGTGTGAACAAGTATGAACGAAAGTTTGTGTTTACCTCAAAAAGGTGCGCAGTTTGGTATGTTATTTGGGGAAAACACTAGAGAATGCTATAATTGAAAATACAAATTTTAATTCAGCATGTCTTTTAAAATTTTGCTGTATTCTTGTATCGGAATTTGTGTTGCGGGGACTCCTGCTGATAATTATGTATGTATGTATGCTTGTTGGATATTGGTCACGATCAGCTACACAAGTTACTCCTGATATGCATAACACTCATATGTACGGTAGTATTTACCTATATACTTATGTATGTTAAAATTCTTCCAGCGAAAAGCGCAGATTTTAAAGTGCTGCGTGCACCTACGCAAATATGTATGTATGTATGTATGTATATATATTTTTTTTTGTATGTATGTAAGCATTTGCTTGCACTGGTATAAAAAACCAGGAAATATGTAGTTATTGCGGTTAGAGAATTGGTAAATTTAACAAATAAAATTAATAGTCCCAATCGGAGGTATGCACAATATCAATTTGAATAGGAATATTTGTACATACATAAGTATATATATACATATACCCACTGGGAAAATAGGTAAGCACCTCACGAGGTAAGCCATGTTTTCTTTCAATTTTTAGTACCCAAATTGTAATCATTGCCAATGCCATCGACTAGTAAAGCACAAAATGAACACCTCCGACGACACATTACGTTGTCAATTGCAAAATAACGTGCAGCCGAAGTTATTTCCAAGCGACTGCTCTGCATTATTCGTAACTTACTTTGTAAAGCGGCTCAGAGGTACATATGTCTGATACCAAATGTACATTCTTAATACCTCTTATATAAGGCGGCTACGTCATTGTTAAAGTAATGGAGATTCGGCAGGCAAGTGGTAAGGACCGCCGGGTGAAGGGAAATATCTTACCAGCAGCTTACACTTTACCCGGCGGTCCTTACCACTTCACTGACGAATACCCCTTACTTTAACAAAGACGTGGCCGCCTTATGTATGTAAGTAGGAATTCAGAGTGTACATTTGGTATCAGATATACTTCTGATACGCTTTACAAAGTAAGTTACGTGTAATGCAGAGCAGTCGCTCGGAGTAGTTCGGCGCTTGGAAATAACTTCGGCTGCACGTTATTTTGCAACTGACAACGTAATGTGTCGTCGGAGGTGTTCATTTTGTGCTTTTCTAGTAGATGGCATTGGCAATGATTACAATTTGGGTACTAAAAATTGAAAGAAAACATGGCTTACCTCGTGAGGTGCTTACCTATTTTCCCAGTGGGTATATGTATATATATACTTATGTATGTACAAATATTCCTATTCAAATTGATATTGTGCATACCTCCGATTGGGACTATTAATTTTATTTGTTAAATTTACCAATTCTCTAACCGCAATAACTACATATTTCCTGGTTTTTTATACCAGTGCAAGCAAATGCTTACATACATACTAAAAACTGAAAGAAAACATAGCTTACCTCGTAAGGTGCTTACCTTTTTCCCAGTGGGTATATTTAGAGCTGTACATGTGTTTCGTTGATATTTACATTAATAAAATTCGGTAGCCTATATTGGCGTGAAATGCAAACACGCCGTATTTGACTTTCTTAAGTTTTACTCTCGAAAAAACGTCACAGGCATTAATGGGTAGGCTTACATGTGTATGTGTGTATGTACATATTTATATAGCAAACAACGTTCGACGGTTAGACGAGAAATATTATCAGAAAAACCCTTTTTAGCTGGTCGTTCTATCAGCCGGATGCTTGCGTAGGTGTTGACAAGTTTGTAAAATGTCGAAGGAGTTATCGAAACATCTTATTTGTAATCTCAAGTAAACATATGGAAAATTTATACAAATCATGTGAGAGTAAGTACATACTTACGTATTTACATATCTACCTACATACAGTGCCGGACAAAACTAAAGCACGAGATTTTCCATGCCGTACAAAAAGAAGAAGTATATATTACTGCATATACGGTAATATTGTTTGCAACTTAAATATGTTTATTTATGTATTTATTTTTAAGTATTTTCTATTAAAATGCCGTTCGTTCTCTAACAAAACCCATATAAACCCAAGTTTAAAAGTTTGTACAAATCTTCAAAAATTTTCACCTAAATTTCAAGCTTTTTTCTGAGAAGTATTCGATTTTTTTTGGTATAAAGTTCAATTTTAGTCTAATAATTTGCAAGTTTCAAGTGGCTAAAAATTACCGTAGATTTTTTTAAATTTATTTTGTCGTATTTGCTTCCATATAACGAATGAACACAATTTATTTGTATGTATATGGGAGAAAACCGCAACACCTTCGGGTTTAGTGCAAGTTTCAAGAAGCCCGTTGATTTTTGACAATTTTTTTCGCTGACCGCTATACCCTAAAAGCAATCTTCAATGTATATTCTCTTAATCGAATTGCTCGGGCGGCCGTTATTACAGCAGTAAGACTCATAGAAGCGAGTTCATGGATCAAGGGAATCTCAGGGCATTCAGATATCCTAGGCACGGGTGTATCAACAAGAAGTGTTTGCCATCCGGGAGGCAGCGCGGAATCTTGGTCAGACAATCATAGTCAAGAACAGTCAGACTCAAGAACAGTACCTAATGTACCTTTAGGTCAGCAAACGTCGGAAAAAGGTACAGTGGTACCTACTTATTCATCCCTGGTTGGTAGACGAAGTCATAGAACGAAGTCGTGAAGCGGTCGAAGTAAAGGCCGGTCCACATAGAACTTTGGCGTTGGCGTTGATTAACAGCTGACTATGAATACACACAATTATATGGACATGTCCACATATCAACGGCAACGCCAACGCCAAAGTTAACGCACACAAAAAGATGGGAATCTCTCAATCTCTCTCGCGCGTTGTCAATCAGCTGTTGCAAATAAATAAAATTATGTGAAATATTTTTAGTTTTTAATCAAATGTAGGTATGAAATATCATTTTTCATGGAATTATTGATATGAAATATGAATTTATCTGTCGTTAGTATGTAAATCTAGTGCTCAAAGCATTCGCTGCCAAGCGTTCATTGTAGCAAGCATACTTTTAACGTGCGTTCTGTCAAACTAACGCCAACGCTAAAGCCAACGCGAAAGTTCTATGTGGACCGGCCTTAAGTCGTCGTCGGGCGAAGTTCATCCCAGTCGTCGTCGTTGTGTCATCACCAAGTATCTCCTTTCACTTTACTTAAAATAAACTAAAATATTTTCATTTAAAATATAGGCTTACAAAACGCTAATCCACATCCATTGTATTGATATTAGAAATTGAATGAACTCTCTTATTATTATCATCAAATACATTTTACAGACATATACACACCCAACGAGACCAGTGCTATTGGAGTGCTCCATATTCAGCAGTACGCGCTCCCTTCCCAATTTCACACATCTTTGTATTTTAACATTGTGTGTCATTAGAAAGAAGCGCTCCCTTGCTGCCTCAAGAAGCCCTTGGTGAGCGCTTCAACTAAGTGCTCCGTTAGTGCTCTTTTAAAGCTTTAAAAAAATGCTACATGCAAAATTTAATTTTTCATATTACATTATTCTTTTAACAAAATAATGGAGTTTTGTGAACGATTTGATATTTTTATTAAGTTAGTGTACTTAAACTTAGTTTTTTTATTCTGTTTGGTATACATATGTACATATATACAAATGAACTCTCCTACATACAATTTTTGTTGTCGGAAATAAGAAAACATGTAGCCCTCGGCAACATATTTATTGCCGGTAATATCGCTATCGTATCGATTTCTTTTTACCAGTCGCTCTAAAACAGAGGTACCCAAACCGTTTTCTCGTAGACCACTTTTAAAATTTTACTGCTTTTGGTGAACCCCCTGCTGCTACATTTCTACCATATTTCCAAAACTCGTCAAAAAATTTAAAGTTTAGATCGAACGATGGAAATTTGAGCCGCGGATGAGTTCCAATCCTCAATTCGGAGCGGTTAAAATGCAATGAAAAATAGTACATGTTTACATGTTCTTTTTA